AGTATATTGGTTTGAAAATGTTGAACTTGCATGATTTGCAATGTGTGTTTTTTTACTGAAACTCCCATATTGATCGAATCCCGGGTTTGAACGAGAACGGCACACCACGTGATTCGTTTGAATGCAATGCTGAAGTCAAACATGCCGTGCTACTGCGGTACTCCACTGACGGGATGACTTACTGGTACTGCATGCTACAACTTCGCTTGTGATGTTGCTTGTTAGCCATGGATTAAATGAATCTTGATTACCAGTTAAAATGTTGCTCATTTGGCGTTGGTAAACTTTATTTGGAACTGGGTAACGCCGCAACGTCGCAGAAACCTGCTGGTAATTCGTACTATGATAAAACTCAGTCAACATACATCAAGTTCTCTCAATCGTAGTATTCCATGTGATGTACACCTAAAAAATGTTGTTTAACGATTTGAACTGGATAAAAATAGCAGACGAAAATTTATTTACAAAATAAAAATACTTCGGTTGCCAATGAAAACAAGCCGGTAAAAAACAAGCAATATGTTTTCGGCTGTTACCATGGTAGGACATGAACGTGAAGCTAACGTCGGTTTATAACTAAAACCGGGCACCTTATACGAGGTTCGCAAAATAAAATTCAGTCTTTAGAAGTCACTTTATGTTATTGCTAGGACGTATTCATTCGTATTAAATGTATTATTTCCAACCGTTTTGCGATAGTATTTTCTAGATTGGAGGCTGCATTTACATTTTATTCAAAGTTCAAAGTTGCGTTGGGATTACGTTGACAGTGTAACAATGTCGGCGCCGGTGATCTCCTACCAGTGCGCAACGTAACCAGAATAAAAGGCATGATCATTTGGGCACTGCTATTACAAGACTGGTAGAAGGTAATAAATTTGGGGCGAAAGTATTCAAAAACAGATTTTGGCTGTTACCATGGTAGCGGTGGGTCAGGATTGTTTTTTGAATTAGTGATGGTACGACCTGCCTGTCAAGTATGAACAAAATCAGCCAAGCCAAAAAAAAACACAGAAGAGTTAAAAAGCCATTCCTGGTGAACAGTTATTTTAACTTTGGGGTCAACTTTCTCATTAATGAAAAAAGATATCAAAAATTCAAATAGTAACTTTGTGCCCACACTCAAGCGAGTACAATGAGCTATGTCTGAGGTGTTGTATCACAGGGAGTTGGGCAAACTTATGAATTATTGAATAATACAATGTTATATAACTTTTCTTTTACCCCCTCCCCTTCCCGGTATCTATTTCAAGTAATCACTATTTTTATTTTGTAAACACATTTCCGTCTGCTATTTTTGTCAGGTTCAAATCGTTCACCAGCATTTTTGGCATGTTAGATGTACATCACATAGAATACTAGGATATGTTGACCACCTTGAATCTTGAAGGGCTCTCGGAAGATCTACCCGCAGCCTGGACCCGCAGTAAAATCAGCGATTGCTATGGAGCCGCAACCATCAGCATCGAGATACCAGGAGGTTTCTGCTGGCGACGTTGCGGCGTTACTCAGTTCCAAATAAAGATTACCAACGCCAAATGAGCAACATTTAACCGGTAACCAAGAATCAGGCCCATTTGTACCCTCTCCCAATCACCAATCACCAAGATTTAAAGAGGGAAATCACCAGGAATTCCAATTACCTATTCACCAATCACCAGGAATTCCAATTACCTATTCACCAATCACCAGGGATTGTTGTTGAATATAAAAGCATTTATAAAAGATATTTGACATTAACTTTGATTGCTGGTCAGACATAGTAGTTAGACATACATTTCTTAACTGATCTTTCTGTTTGAAACTATCTATCTCCTCGGTTTCTAAACTGCTGTTCTCGTCATTACTGTAGTCGTCCCTTTGTGCAACAGTTTCTCTAGTTGCTTTCTGTTCAGGAGCCAACCTATCTTGCACACACTGCTTCTCTTTGTTCAGCAATTCATGAAATGTCACTTCTTTCGTGTTATCGTGTTATCGTGTTATTATTTCTGAATCACTAGTTTTCTTGTCGGATTGATCTTTGTCTAACAACTTTTCCGTTGTCAACAGCCCAATTTCTCATTTTCTCTTGATCCTCTTTTCTCGTGGTACAACTGGTAATGGTTGAAGCTTTGGACTGTCTCAAAATGAAGTTTGGTTTGTGGCTGGTGGATAAAACGATGACGGACTGGTGAAGTAACAGACTGGCCAATTATATGATATTTTCAAACTTTCTTTAATTGTGTTCCCAAATGATCTGGCAGACTGATACAAAATAAACAACTAAATTAAGTAAAGATGACGAAAAATAGTTTGTCAAATAAATATAATATCAAAGAAAGCTTAGAAAAACTCTTGTGTGCTGAGTAATGGAGACAAATTAAAAATTAATTCAAAATTACTTGTACTTGAGATATTGATGGAAAAGCTTAAAACTAATTATGCAAAACAGATAATTAATATGAACAGATTTCAGTGTAAAACTAATAAGGTCTGTGAATGTAACAGACCATTCATGTAGCAAGTTTCATTTAAATGAGATTAAAACCCAAATAAAATAGTATGCTTATCAGGGAATTAATATCAACAGATTTTAACTAATCAGGTTTGTAAATTGCATATATAGCCAAATAATGACTTTAACTTAAATTTAGAAATTAGTAAATATGAGGGGAAGGGGGTTCATAAGTATGAAAATAATTTGCACATTAAAAATTGTTCTCAAATGAATAATAATTCAAAATTAATTCTAATAATATACGTCCCTGTAAAACAGAGGAAAAACGCTTTGACATTTTTTTCTTTATCTACTACACATTATTAAAAGTTGTGAACCTTTTAATGTTCCATTGGAAAACTATGACGTAATAAGGAATCAATAAACAATAGGACAATTTAGAAGAAAACTGTAATTTATCATGTAATAAAGCGTGTCAGCATTAAAAGACGTACATGAAACCACAAGTATTTCCTAGACACACCAACAAACCACAGGCGCTCGGAACGTTTCTTGGATAATAAAAAGTGGCCTAAAGAAGGGTCAGCATGGTTAGTCAGTCGCCGGTACATTCATGAGTGGTAACTCATATAATAACAAGACGGCGCCAGCGAAATTCGAAAGCAAACTGTTTAGTCAAAACCCAGGCAGTTAGCCAATTCACTAGCGAGTTTGCGAATTGGCTGCCCTAATACTTCGGAGACTTGCTGTAATCATTATAGAACAGTAGATTTGATTGGCAAAAGATCACCATACACTTCGAAGAATTGACCAATGGAAAGAACTCTCTCATACTACAAGTACACGAGTGTATAAAAAACACTCAGGTGTACCGATTTTAAACTATTGGTGGCGCA